AAATTAGCAAAGATATGGATTTAGGGAATTGCCTGTAGAGTTTTCTGCAAGCAGCCAGTATCCGCATCAGGGACTGGCTAACTACAGCCTGTGGTTCGAAACTAGTCTGCTGCTTGTTTTTGCAAATAAAGTTTTTTTTTTTTATTACATTTTAGGTTTTGGGGTACATGTGAAGAACATGCTAGATAGTTGCATAAGTACACTTGTGGCAGTGTAATTTGCTGCCTTCCTCCCCTTCACCTATATCTGGCATTTCTCCCCATGCTATCTCTCCCCAACTCCCCACCCCCCACTGTCCCTCCCCTATTCCCCCCAACAGACCCCAGTGTGTGGTGCTCCCCTCCCTGTGTCCATGTGTTTTCATTGTTCAACACCTGCCTATGAGTGAGAACATGTGGTATTTCATTTTCTGTTCTTGTGTCAGTTTCCTGAGAATGATGGTTTCCAGGTTCATCCATGTCCCTACAAAGGACACGAACTCATCGTTTTTGATTGCTGCATAATATTCCATGGTGTATATGTGACACATTTTCCCAGTCCAGTCTATCATCGATGGGCATTTGGATTGGTTCCAGGTCTTTGCTATTGTAAACAGTGCTGCAATGAACATTCATATGCATGTGCCCTTATAGTAGTACGATTTACAGACCTTTGGATATATACCCAGTAATGGGATTGCTGGGTCAAATGGTATTTCTGGTTCTAGATCCTCCAAGAATTGCCACACTGTCTTCCACAATGGTTGAACTAATTTACACTCCCATCAGCAGTGTAAAAGTGTTCCTGTTTCTCCACATCCTCTCCAGCATCTATTGTCTTCAGATTTTTTAATGTTCGCCATTCTAACTGGCGTGAGATGGTATCTCAATGTAGTTTTGATTTGCATTTCTCTAATGACCAGCGATGATGAGCATTTTTTCATATGTTTGTTGGCCTTATGTATGTCTTCACAAATAAAGTTTTATTGAAACATAGCCATGCCTACTCCTCTATATATTATCTCCCAGTGCTTTTGCACTTCAGTGGCAGAGCTGAGTAGTTGTGACAGACCCGTATGGCCTGCAAATCCTTAAATGTTTACTTTCTGGCCCTTTCCAGAATTTGCTGATCTCTGCTCTAGCTGACTGTATTAGTATGCCGAAGCTAAAGTATACTGACGCAGCAAATAATTGCAAAACCTCAGTGGCTTAGAACGAAGGGTTATTTCTCATTCACATGACATGATCTTTGAGAGTCAGTTTCAATATGTCACTCCAGAATGCAGGCTAAAGGAGCAGCCCCTATCTGGAATATTACTAATTTAGTAAAGTGTTTAAAAGAGAGAAAGTAGAACCGCAATAGCCCTTAAAACTTTTCTTAAGTGGCACATGTCACTTTCACTCATGTTTCATTGGGCAAGAAAGTCACAAGGCCAAACCTGGGGAAGGAAGTGTATTTCTCCTGTAGGGACTTCTGGTTTAGCATGCTAGGTTTCCCACCAGATTACTTAAGGACTTATATTGGCTGCTTGAACCTTGAAGGCCAAATGGTGAGCTAAGGCTAGGCTGTCCAGCTGAGAAGCAGGTGTAGCTGAGACCCAAACTGAGGGTATCTGAGAACCTACCAAGAAAAACAGTCACATCACCGAAACACAGTGGGCAAACAGCCAGAAGATTATCTTAAAAGCAGTTGAGACTGGGTTTGGTGGCTCATGCCTGTAATCCCAGCACGTTGGGAGACTGAGAAAGGTGGATCATGAGATTAAGAGATCAAGACCTTCCTGGCCAACTTGGTGAAACCCCATCTCTACTAAAAAAATACAAAAATTAGCTGGGTGTGGCTACTCAGGAGGCTGAGGCAGGAGAATTGCCTGAAGCCAGGAGGCAGAGGTTGCAGTGAGCCAGATCGTGCCACTGCACTCCAGCCTGGAGATAGAGCGAGACTCTCTCTCACAATTAAAAAAAACAAAACAAAACAAAACAAAAAAACAAGCAGTTGAGAGATGTGAGGCGGTGCACATCTCTAGAGCTATCCTGCTGTCATCTAGGAGTGCTCTGTATGTAAGTCCTAATAAACTCATCTACTCACCAAATTGGACTTGTCGAAGTCATTTTTTAAATCTCTCTCTTCCTTCCCAATTTTGGGGAGAGGAATCGTATAGTCCCAGGTTTTTCTTGTAACATCTGGGAGGGAGGTCCTTGCTAGGAAAATCTGGAGAAGACTTTGACAATAATATACAGTTGATCTTTGAACAAATTGGGGTTTGGGATGCTGACTACCTGCATGGTGAAAAGTCCATGTATAACCTTTTTATTCTTTTTCCATTTTTTATTTTCAGTGCAGGGGTAGAAGTGCAAATTTGTTACCTGGGTGTATTGTGTGATGCTGAGGTTTGGAGTATGAATGATCATGTTGCCCAGGACCTGAGAATAGTACCCAACAGTTCTTCCCTCCCTTCTTCCCTTTTCCTCCCTCCCTCCCTCCCTTTCTTCCTTCCTTCCTTTCTTTTTTTATTTATTTATGTTTTTTCATTTACTTTTTTCTTTTCTTTTCTTTTCTTTTTCTTTCTTTCTTTCTTTCTTTTTTTTTGAGACAGGATCTCACTCTGTTGCCCAGGCTGGAGTGTAGTGGCATAATTTCAGCTCACTGCAGCCTCAACTTCCCAGGTTCAAGTAAGTCTCCTGTCTCAGCTCCTGGGCCGCTGGGATTACAGGTGTACGCCACCATACCTGAGTAACTTTTGTATTTTTTGTAGAGACAGGGTTTCACTGTGTTATTAGGCTGGTTTTGAACTCCTGAGTGCAAGCAATCTGCCTGCCTTGGTCTCCCAAAGTGCTGGGATTACAAACATGAGCCACCATGCCCAACCAACCCACAGATTTTCAATCCTTGCCATCTTTCTTCCTTCCCATGTTTAGTGAGCTCCAGTGTCTATTGTTGCCATCCTTATGTCTGTGATACCAGATGCTTAGTTCTCACTTGTAACTAAGAACATTTGTTATTTGGTTTTCTGTCCCTGTGTTAATTTGTTTAGGATAATAGCCTTCAGCTGCATCTGTGTTGCTGCAATGGACATAATTTCATTCTTTTTTATAGCTGCATAGAATTCTATGGTGTATATGTACTGCACTTTCTTTATCCAATCCACTGTTGATGGACACCTGGATTTATTCAGTTTTTTTTTTTTTTTTTTTTTTTTTTTTTTTTTTTTTTTTTTTTTTTTTTTTGCTATCGTGAATAGTGCTGTGATGAATAAGCAAGTGTGTGTCTTTTTGGTAGAATGATTTATTTTCTTTTGGATGTATACCCAGTAATGGAATTACTGCGTCAAATGGTAGTTCTAAGTTCTTTGAGAAACCTCTCAACTCTTTTCCAATGGACATTGTTGAGTTGCTGAACTAATGTTCATTCCCACCGACACTCTATAAGCATTCCCTCTTCTCCACAGCCTCACCAAACATCTGTTGTATTTTGACTTTTTAATAATAGCCATTCTGGTATGAGATGGTATCTCACTGTGGTTTTAATTTGCATGGTTCTGATGATTAGTGATGATACACATTTTTTAATGTTTATTGGCCATTTGTATGCTATCTTTTGAGAAGTGTCTGTTCATGTCCACTGCCCATTTTTTTAAAATGGAGTTATTTTTTGCTTGCTGAATTGCTTAAGTTCCTTATAGATTCCACATAGTAGACGTTTTTTAGATGCATAGTTTATGAATATTTTCCCCCATTCTGTCAGTTGTCTGTTTACTCTGTTGATAGTTTCTTTTGCTGTGTAGAAGCTCTTTAGTTTAATTAGGTCCTACTTGTCAATGATTGTTTTTGTTGCAATTGGTTTTGAGGGCTTTGTTATTAATTATTTCCCAAGGTCCATGTCCAGAATGGTTTTTCCAAGACTTTATTCTCTCGTTCTTACAGTTTGAGGTCTTCATTATAACCTTTGACTCCTCCAAAACTTAATTACTACTTCTCTACTATTGTCTGGAAGCCTTGGCAATAACATCAACAACCAATTAACATATATTTTGTATGTTACATGTATTATATACTATCTTTTTACAATAAAGTAAACTAGATAAAAGATAATGTTATTCAGAAAATCATAAGAACGAGAGAATATATTTACTGTTTATTAAGTGGAAGTAGATCATCGTAATAGACTTCATCCTCCTTGTCTTCATGTTAAGCAGGCTGGGAGGAGGAAGGAAAAGGAGGTGTTGGTCTTGCTGTCTTAGGGGTGCAGAGGAGGAAGACAATTCACCTATAAGTCGACCTACTCAGTTCACACCCAAGTTACTCAAGGGTCAACTGTAATTACAGTGCCTGTTCAGCTTTTGTTAAGGATTCACCATAAAAATGAAAACTTCTACAAGATCTTGGGGCAGAAAGGCTAACTTTTTCCCTCTCTTTTCTTGAAGCACATTAACAGTATTAGTTGTACAATGAGTACAACCTCAGAATTCTATGTGTTCTGGGGTGAAAAGGGGACCTCAGAGCATGTGATTCTTGGCAAGACCCCCGACCTTGCTCTTCTCCATCCTGCCACTCACAGTCACCCTCTCTCCCTATTTATTTTCAAGATTGACCTCACCCTCCCCTCATCCCCATGTTGCAGAAAGTTTTTTGAGAAGATTTGAATGTAGGTGGTTTACAGGGATGTACTCTCAGTATCACCAGTAGTGGAGGGAATGGAAAGCAGATGCAATGGGGCCTTCACAGATCCTGCAATACTAGGAGAAGCTCTGAAGCTTGGTCATCCATCAAAGTGGTTGCCAAGGGGCCAGGCATTGATGTTTTCATATTGACCAGTCACTGGGTTGAGCTAAGACACTGGGCAAGGTGGCTCTTTTTAGTTACAGGCAATTCCTGCAGAGGGACTCAGCTAAAAGCTGTCAGCACTAACACTCCTAGCAGCTCATAAATTCTCAGTTGGAATGGATACTTGTAACAAGAGATGGATTAACAAGAGAAATACGAACAGAAATTTATTAACATGTTTATTTTATATATTCACAGGAGATACCCAAGGAATGAGTAATTCTCAAAAACGTGGCTTTGAATTTGAGCTTCATATAGAATTTTGAACAAAGAACAGTGCATTTTTAGGGATGTGACAAGAGACAAAGGAAAAGGACTTTAACTCTCTATGGCAATTTATAGGAAGGCAAATGACCATCAGATAAATGCTGGTGAGTAACACTTGTTAATGTAGATGTCGCTTGTACTATCTCCAGGCCCAGAAGGGTCTAAAGTTGTCTCCACTGGTCAGCCTTTGTTCTCTCTGGTAGAAGGGGATGTGGGGACTGGGTATCTTTAGTATTTATAAATCTGTGTCTTGCTTTTAGGCAAATTGAAGGAGGGCAGAGCACTTTCCTGCAACTGCTTCTCTTTAATTGTCTTCAGATCAACAGTCTTTTAAGAGGCGTATTTTGGGGTGACATATTCTAGTCTCCCAAAAAGCCAATAGACCAAGATTATCAAAGGAATGGTAGGTAGAGAAGAGGTCTGAGAACCAAACTCTAGGAATTATATTTAAAAATTGACAAGAAGAACAGCATCCATCAGAGATGCTAAGGCAGAGTAGCCAGAGATGAAGAAGAGCAAGAGTGTGTTGTCCAGAAACTAAGATAATAAATATTTCAAGAAGCAAAGAATAGTCAAGCAAAGGACAAGAAAAAAGGATGGTCAAATCCTGCTGATATATAAAGGAGAAATGAAAATCGTTCATTGGATTGGGCAGTGGGGAGGTCATAGGTGACTTTGACAAGAGCAGATAAATGGGGCCTTTCTGGGAGGGAGTGTGGGGTCAGTAGTAATATTTTAAGATGTGTAAATGCTCATAGAAATGACTCAGTGGAGAGAGAAAGTTGATGCAGGAGAAAGAGGTTGTATTTCAGAACTGACATTGTTGAGTAGGCAAGAAGAAAGAAGAAGTGGGTTCTAATGCACAAGGACAAGGTTTATTGTCATAAAAAGGAAACAAGGTATATGGCTATAGGTACAAAAAGTAAATTTATTGATAGGGATTTTCTTATTTCTCATTGAAATAAGGAGCAATTAGCAAATCTTAAAGAAAGGAAAGGATTTGGGAGGTTTGAGGAGAAGATGTGAAATAGTTCTTTAGGAGAATGGACTTGGTGAATGTTCTCAAAGAATGGCGGGTAGACTACTTAGGGTCAGCCTTTTGTTTGTGGTCATAATTCTTTTCTTTTTTTTCTTTTTTTTTTTGAGATGGAGACTTGCTCTGTCATCAGGGTGGAGTGCAGTGGCATGATCTCAGCTCCTTGCAACCTCTGCCTCCTGGGTTCAAGTGCTTCTCCTGCCTCAGCCACCCAAGTATCTGGGACTACAGGCACACACCACCATGCCCAGCTAATTTTTGTATTTTTAGTAGAGATGGGGTTTCATCATGTTGGCAAGGATGGTCTCGATCTCTTGACCTTGTGATCTGCCTGCCTCGGCTTCCCAAAATGCTAGGATTACAGTTGTGAGCCACTGTGCCCGGCCGTGGTCATGATTTTAAAGATACCTGTCAGCATCATTGTGCTTTTCTGTAACCATACTTAGATACACAGGTGCAGGAAATGAGTGAGTACAGAAAGCAGATTTGACTCAGGCTGGAGTTATTCATTTATTTATTTAGAGAAAGTCTTGCTCTTGCCCAGGCTGGAGTCAGTGGTGGAATTATAGCTCACTGAAACCTCAAATTCCTGGGCTCAAGTGAGCCTCCTGCCTCATCCTTTTGAGTAACTGGGATCACAGTTGTGCACTGCCATGTCCAGCTAAGGTTTGTATTTGTTTTTGTAGAGACAGGGTCTTGCTGTATTGCCCAGGCTGATTTTGAGCTCTTGGTCTCAAGCGATCTTCCCACCTCAGCCTCTCAAAGTTGCTGGAATTTTAAGTCTGAGCCACTGCACCTGACCCCGAGGCTGGATTTTGTCAGGTAGTTCTGAGTAAAGGAGAGTGAAGTTGAAATTGAGGGTGTCCACTTATGATGTTACTCGTAAGCATTACTTTGAGCTGAGTATGCCAAGAGGTCAGAATGTTAGCATGGGGATAGAAATTAAAAATGAGAAGCCAGTAGGGTCAAACACTGTTGGAGTTGGGGTGGAAGAGGGTGTGAGCTGGTGGTAGGAGAGTGGGATGCTGGAAACTTGGGACTTGGATGGGATGCATTTGTTGGTAATGACAGGGACCAGGGTATGACCATGGAGGTAGGTGGCTGTGGGGAGATGGAGTACAAGATCCTTGCTGGTGAAAAGTAAAACATTGGTAAGCTAATGCATTGAACATGCCACCTATGTTCATATCACCTATGTTTTGATACCTTTGGTATCAAAATGCCCAAGAATTATGGCAGGAATAGTATTGAAGAGAGACAGTGAGTTGGGTCTAAAATCTTCAGTGACTAAGAGGTAGTGACTGTGATTTCTGTTACTGATTACAGTAATTTGGGTAGTAATTATCTTCTAGTACTATTTTTATGAGCTTGGTTAGTGCATTCAGTTAGTATAGGTTTCAGTTTCTTTGTCTAAAAACAGAGAAGTTGGTCCAAGGTATCTCTAAGTTCCCCCTTTGTTCTAAAATTCCTTAACTTGAAGAAATATATAGATTACATTTTTTTTTTTTGAGATGGAGTCTCACTCTGTTGCCTAGGCTGGAGTGCAGCGGTGCGATCTTGGCTCACTGCAGTCTCCACCTCCTGGGTTCAGGTGATCCTTCTGCCTCAGCATCCCAAGTAGCTGGGACTAAAGGTGCATGCCACCACACCTCGCTATTTTTTTTTTTTTTTTTAGTAGAGACAGGGTTTCACCATCTTGGCCAGGCTAGTCTTGAACTCCTGACCTCGTGATCCACTTTCCTCAGCCTCCCAAAGTGCTGGGATCACAGGTGTGAGCCACTGCACCCAGCCAGATTACAATTTTTAAAAGCTCCTCTTGTTAATTATAGAAGAATTGAACTTTATTTCAAATCTATTTAGTTCGGACTGTAATGTGCAATCTTGCTAATTTGCAAGGGCATTTTCTTATAGCTAACAAGATAAACTAAGGGCCTTGATGGGTTAAAGGGGAGAATGATGAGGGAGGGGGAGGCAAGATTTTATTCTACAAGTGTACTAAGTACCAACTGGGGAAATTTGGAGTTAATGTTGTTGGAGGTTTTTGCCATTGAAGAGAGAAAATTGTGTGGCTGCAAGTTTATGAAATGAGCCACTAGCGAGTCTTTGGCATGAGAACTCTAATTGAATGAACACCCACATACATCAGAGAGGAATCCCTCTATCCTCTGTTATCCCTTGATCCTGCAGCCATGCTCCTCCACCAGAGCACTTTCCTCATTGCATCCTAGTAATTTGTTTCTCTTCTCTATTACCCTGCCAGGAATTGGAACTCCACGAGGGAAGAATTGTTTCTTACTCATTTTTGCACCCATCTTCAAGCCCAGTGCTTCTAATGTGAGTCACTTAATAAATATCTTTTTTCTTTTTAAGAGCCACGGTCTTGCTATGTCACCCAGACTGGAGTGCAATGGTGCAAGCATAGCTCACTGCAGCCTCACAGTCCACAGCTCAAGCAACCTTCCTGCTTTAGCTTCCTGAGTAGATAGGATTACAGGTGCGCACCACCATGCCCAGTTAATTTTTAAATACTTTCTGTAGAGTTGAAGTCCATGTTGCCCAGGCTTATCTCAAACTTCTGACCTCAAGCGATCCTCCTGCCTCAGCCTCCCAAAGCACTGGGATTACAGGCATGAGCCACTGTGCCCAGCTGATAAAGACCTAATTAATGCAGGGTTGAATAGGTGATTGAATACATGAATGGAAACAGTAGGCACTTATATATTTGCTTTAGCATCCATTAAACTATAACCGTCTTGTGGGTTGAAGTTACTGTATAACTTACATGTTTGTAGGTATTTGACATGCACATTTGAAGGAGCACATGAGAAAGCCACCTGACTAGGCAGTGTGATAGGATTGCTGATTTCTGCTGATGGCCATGCCTACCTTACTCTCGGATTCTGGGATTTTACATTTGCATGAAACATCTCTCCTTGTGCTAACTCCTGATTTGATCTGCATAACATCACCAAAGTGTTTCTAGTCATCTAGAGTTCTTGGAAACTGAGGCCGTGAATCATTGAAAGACCTATTGGAAGCATTTTGAGAAACTGGGTGCCCATCTGGCCTGTCATTGGCAGGGGCTCTGGACTGGGATGGAAGTCTCCCATATCCATGTGTCTGGGCAAAATGCAAATGGCGGTAACCACAACCAGCTCCTTATTTCTCACTGATGGTGCTCAGAGACCCAGCAACATTCACCCTGGAAGTAATCCAGTGGTTTTGACATAAACTCTGAGGTGGGGCTTGGTTTTTCAAGAAACCTCTGCTGCCAAGGCAAGTTGATTCCGAATGCTGGGAACCATGAAGTGGCCACCACCACATGGAGCAGTTGAGACCCACAGTGAGGTGAGGATAAAATAATTCGTTGTCTTGCTTTTGTCTCTCATTGGCTAAGAGAACGTAGGCATGTTACTTCTAGCTATGAAATTCTATTTTGAACTGTAAAATAAGAGGGTTGACTCAAGAGGATCTGAAGAGCCTTTTCCAGCTCTGTCATTCCTGCAGTACTGTGGATTTTTCTTTTAGGGATGAAAATGGGTTCCAGTACAAGTTGTTCTTCTCACTCTAAGGAAGCCCTGAACCAGCCATTTCCTTTTCCTCTTGAGATAACATTTTAGTTATCATCCTTCTCAGTCCCCACCTCTGTCTTACAGTGTTTATTTTTCATGTCATTGTTTTCTCAGTTACCTCAAATATGAGTTGGTTTACAAACATTCTGGAAAAAGTCACATTGACTCAGCATAGATTTATGTGGGTAATAATCTGCAGCACACACTGAAGCAAGGACATGGGATTAGGTCTTTCTTGCATTGCTATAAGGAAATACCTGAGACTGGGTAATTGATAAAGAAAAGAAGTTTAATTTGCTCACGGTTTTGCAGGCTATTCAGGAAGCATAATGCTGGCATCTGCTCGGCACCTCGGGGTAAACTCAGGAAATTTACAATCATGACAGAAGGTAAAGGGGGAGCAAGACCTCTCCTATGGTAGGAGCAGAAGCAGGGAGTGGGGGGTGAGGTGTTACACACTTTAAACAACCGATCTCATGAGAACTCTTGCACAAGAACAGCACCAACAGGATGGTGCTAATCTATTTATGAAAGATCCACCCCCATGATCCAGTCACCTCCCACCAGGCCCTACCTCCAGCACTGGGAATTACAATTTGACATGAGATTTGGGTGTGGACACAGACCCATGCCATATCAGACATGAACAAGAAAAGACAGGCCTCTGTCCTTCAGGATCACACAGCCTGAAAGAAAAGTCTCTTAGCTCCATTACTACAATTCCATTCTAAAGACTTCAGGTGCTCAATAGCATTTCCTCTCCCTCTCAACCTGGGACTTTTATTTATGCTATAGGAGGGAAAAACTATCTTTTTCTTACCCATCTTACATTCATGGCTGAGGCCCCTGTAACGAAAGTCAGATTAACAAAAGAAAAGCATACAGATGTATTTAATATAAGCTTTATGTGACACAGGAACCTTTATAGGGAAATCAACATCCAAAGACACAGTTAAACTCAAATGTTTTAAAAAAAATATTTAAAAAATTTTATTTGCGATGGGGCCTTGCAGTATTGCCCAGGCTAGTCTTGGAATCCTGGCCTTAAGTGATCCTCCTGCCTTGGCCTCCCAAAAAGCTGAGATTATAGATAGGCGTGCACCACTGGATCCAGCCAACCTTGAGTGGTTTTTTATAGCTGGTTTGATCAAGAATGGACAGTCGTAAAGAAATATGAGTGGGGAAAGAAGGGTATGATCTAATGGTAATAAACTTGGGGGAACCAAGTTCAAATTCTTCTGTGTCCCTGTGTCTTCAGAGATGAGGTTATTCCTTTTTTCTGCGTCTAGGGCAGGTACCTTTCACAAGAGATTCTTACACTCTGCTTCAGGGGAGGACAAGTGAAGGTCAGAGAGAACTTCCTGTTTCTGCTGTTCTCTCAAATTCCTTCAGCTTGAAATATTCAGTATGTCTAGGTGCCATACTTTGGGGTAGGGTGTTTGGAATCCACCATTGCATTTGAAAGGAATATGAAGGTGTTACCAGTAGCTATAAATACATACAGTGATGGTCATTTTTTTTTTTTTTTTTGAAGCAAAGACAGTGCATACCTTCTATCTAGTACTGGTTTGGTTAGGTTCTTTTCGTTTTGTAGAATTGTTATCTTGCTATGATTATGTTCTTTTAACAGTAAGGAAAACCATGTAAAAAGCAGGGTGTTCAAATTCTGGGGACTGAGACTTGGAAAGAAAGCTGGCCCAGCAAGCTATGTGGTTCTGCCGCGCTCTGATGAGGGAAAAGTTGATTTGAGTGGCACAGAAGGCACCATAGCGCCCTCTAAGGGTGGTAGTTATTGAGTTATTATACTTCGTTGACAAACTGTTTACTCATTAAAAGTCTTGGAAAAGCAAAATTTTAACTACTTTTACTCCAAGAGAATGAACTCAATTTCGAACAAGGGAAAGCTTTCTACTTCTACCCAGGAAAGAGCAGGGTGTGGGCTGGGAAATGACAACTTCCTAGGTTTTCACAGTGAAGTTCATTTTGTGATCTGGTCACAGGTCATAGAATACCAAGTTCTTATACTCTACATTGTAAGCACAAAAGACTTCCAAGGAAAATTGCAATGATTTTTGGATAGCACTCACCTCTGCTTCTCTATGTTATTTCAAATATTAGAGAGTTGATAGCATCTTTCTCTCTCTCGTGCACGCTCTCTCTCACACACACACACACACACACACACATTTTACAATTTTTTTTTAAACAGTAGTTTGAGGTTCACAGCACAGTTGAATGGAAGAAATGGAGTTATCCCATATATTTCTGCCACCCACCATGTGCATGGCTACCACTATCAACACCTCCCACCAGAGTGCCTTATTTGTTACTTGATGAACCTACACTGACATGTCATTATCATTTAAAGCCCATAGTTTACATTAGGGTTCACTCTTGTTGTACATTCTATGGACTTAGACAAATGCATCATGATGTATATCCACCATTGTACTATATCCACCATTGTACTATATCCACCATTGTACTATATCCACCATTGTACTATCATACAGAGTAATATCACTGCCCTAAAATTTTCTGTGTTCCACTTAATCATCCCCTGCCCCCAACCTCTGGCATTCACTGTTTTTTTTTTCACTGAATCCACAGTTTTGCCTTTTCCAGAATGTCATATAGTTGGAATCGTGCAGTATGCATATTCAACTAAACATACTTTTATAAAACTAAACATTTTTTGTTTCTTAGGCTTTTCAGATTGGCTTCTTTCACTTAGTACTGTGCATTTAAAATTTCTTCATGTATTTTCATGGCTTGATAGCTCATTTCTTTTTAGCACTGAATAATATCCCAGTGGCTAAATGTATCACAGTTCATTTATTCATTCACCTACTGAAGGATCTCTTGGTTGCTTCCAAGTTTATTTTTTTAGCAATTATGAATAAAGCTGCTATAAACATCCATGTGGGCCAGGTGCAGTGGCTCATGCCTGTAATCCCAACACTTTGGTAAGCCAAGGTGAGGGGATCACTTGAGTCCAGAAGTTTTATACCAGCCTAGGCCACTTGGCAAAATCCTGTCTCTACAAATAATTCTGTTTAAATTGGCTGGGTGTGGTGGTGTGTGCCTCTAGTTCCAGCTACTCGGGAGGCTGAGTAGGAGAATCAACTGAACCAAGGAGGTCAAGGCTGCAGTGAGCCATGGTGGCACCACTGCACTCCAGCCTGGGTGATGGAGTGAGAGTAAAACCCTGTCTCAAAAACAAACAGAAATCCTTGTGTAGGTTTTGTGGAGACATGTTTTCAACTCCTTTGCGTAAATTTTAAAGAGTGAGATTGCATGGTAAGAGTATGCTTAGTGTTATGAGAAACTGCCAAACTGCCTCCCAAGTGGCTGTTTTGCACTTCACCAGTAATGAATGTAGTTTCCTATTGATCTACATCTGGAATTTGGCCATTCTAATAGATATGTAGGAGGACCACATTATATTTTACACACTTTATAGTTGAAATTTAATTGGTTACCATTCCCATGTTATTTATTTTTTGGTGGTTTCATTGTTCTGATTATTAATTATTAATGTCAATCTGGCACAGTGGCTCATGCCTGTAATCCCAGCACTTTTGGAGGTGGAGGCAGGTGGATCACAAGGTCAGGAGTTCAAGACCAGCCTGGCCAATGTGGTGAAACCGCCATCTCTACCAAAAATACAAAAATTAGCTGGATGTGGTGGCATATGCCTGTAATCTCAGCTACTTGGGAAGCTAGACCAGGAGAATTGCTTGAATCCAGGAGGTGGACGTTGCAATAAGCTGAGATCACGCCACTAGCAATGGGTGACAGAATCAGACTCCATTGTCATTTATCATTAATGAATGACTATCCAGAAGTTTCTGTCAACTTCATTTGGATGTAAAAAATACTACATGATGTGCTTGCTATTAAGGAATATTTAATTAGGAAAAATGTCATTTTAGGAAACATATCTTTTTATGTAACTTATCCCATCTGTCTGTTACCACTGTCTCTGGGCTCTAATTTCCTCTTCTGAATTGCTTGCTCTTTCAAAGCAGAACATCATTTTGTTCACTTTTGTGTTCTCTCCAATTCTTTTCACATGCCTCACACAAAGAAAGAGTGTAATAAATGCTTGACTAAATATCTCGGATTTTAGAGGAAAAGAAACCAACCCTATGATACAAGCAATTAAGCAAATCATTGGCCCACTTGTTACTTGACGAGAGGTCAAGTACCTTGCTCCTGATCATATAGCTAGTAAGTGGTAGAACTTGGGTTCAAAATCAGGCAGTTTGATTTTAGTGTTTCCCATCCATAGTCATGTGTATGTATGTATTAGTAGCCACCCCCACCCCCTAATTGATATCTTCTCCCCTTCCTCCTATAGGAGCAACTTTCCTTCCTACAGAGGGATCCAAACCTCCTTTATACAGCCCATTTGCTGGGGGCAGCTGATTCTGTTTCTGGCTACTGAGATGGGGCACGTACCCAGGTGGAGCCTATACCAATGATGGAAAACCATTCCCTGATGAAAGTTATTGCATCCAGGGTGGGTAGTGAGCCTGCAGGTCATGTTTGCTGATACATTTCTGGGAAAGAAGTGTCCTCTGTTTTAGAAAAACTGGGAAACCAGCTTCTTTCTCTATCCTTAAATGTGAATGGAGGCAGAGACCAGGCAGGTTGTGGACAGCCAAAATAGGATTGCTGGGATTGAAGATGACATTGCCAAGGGCAGACAGATGTCGAAGTAAACCTGGTCTCTGATGACACTGTTGAGCAATTGAACTGAATCATTCCTGA